TTACAATGGTTGATTTCATTGAAGAGCCATTTACAGTTATATCTCCACGTTATCAACATAAATTATCATGTATTTTTCATCGAAAACGTAATCCTTATGTTGATGATCAAAACCGAGAACATATTGTCATATTATGTCATGGTTATTTGTCAAATAAAAATGCACTTTTTCTTCCGCAATTATCACGTGACATATCAGACTTGACTACAAATCAATTTCATTCAGTTCGTTTTGATTTTCATGGTTGTGGTGAATCAACTGGTCGTGATGAATGGGATTATGGAGGATATGAAAATGAAGCTAAAGATGATTTAAGAAGTATTGTTGAATATTTACGTAATAAAAATGAAAAATATTTTATTCGAGGTCTTATAGGACATTCACGAGCTGGTACAACGGTTTTACTTTATACTTTATATTATGATGATATACCAATTGTCGTCAATATAGCTGGACGTTATCGACTTGAACTTGGTATATCTGAACGATTTTCTCAAAAACAATTCGATGAACTCGAAAAAAAATGGTTCATTAATAATTCATACTATTAATGATGGAGATTTTCGTATAACAAAACAAGCAATAGGACGTCGACAAAATCTTGATAGAAATCAAATTGAAAACATTCATCAAGTAAAAGTTTTGAATATTGAAGCTGGAAAAGATGATGTTGTTCCCTGTGATGATATATATTTATATCAAGCACAATTAAAAAATACCAAAAAAAGTGAAGTAGGCATTGTACCGAATGCTAATCATCTTTTTACAGGCAAAGAAAGAGAATTAATTAATATAATTCAACCATGGATTCAACAATCAATTGATTGATTTTTATGTGTTCTTTTTTTTTTATTTTAGATTATAATTTTGTCAAAATATTCTCAATCAAATGTTAATAATTAGTTAATGAACACTCAAAATTTTGTTGGCAGTACAACTGCTGCCGGTGGGGATGATAATAATAATAATAATAATCTTTCTTTACAACGTTCGAATGGAAGTATCACAATACCATCATATGAAGGAAATTATCACGTCGATATATCATCAACAAATTTTCAACTCAAAACAATAACATCATCATATACTGGTCTTATGCGTATTTATCGTTTATTATATATAGCAGAACATTGTCCAGCATTACGTAATGAAGCTTTTTTATCAACTCTTAGATATATATACAAGAAACACATTTTGTTTCTCTTTATAAACAAGTAAAATAAAACATTTGTTTTTGTTTTATTTGAACTAGTATCATATTTCGGTACTTGATGAAATTAAAAAACAAAATATACCATTACCAAATGATTTTGATGCAGTATGGTATGAACGAACACAACGAAATTATGTTCATAAACTTGAAAAACTTGATATTGATCTGAGAAATTTTCGTACAAATTCAATTAAAGATTCAATACATCGTGGTCATGATGATCTTGGTGATCATTATTTAGATGCTGGAGATTTTTTCAATGCTGTTTGTTGTTATGTACGTTCACAATATTATTGTATTACACCACGACATATGATGACAATGTGTATGAATGTTATAAAAGCATCATTTATATGCAAAATTGGTCTAATATTCTATCTTATTTTAGTAAAGCAGAACAAGCTATTGAAAGTCTTGAATCAACAGCAAAGTTAACAGTAACATTATCGGTTACGATAACAATGGTTAATCCAATGGAAGCACTGAATTCATCGACAACAAATTCAACGGTTGTATCTGATTAAAAATATTAGCTTCACGTTTAAAAGTCTATGCTGATATTGCAGAATTAACAACAAAAAGACATAAATTAGCAGCACGTCATTTTCTTAGTGTTTCATTTGAACATTGTTCAAATCATTTTCAAGTAAGATTCGCTAGAATCAACTCACTTTAATGTATCCCGTTTTCTAAAATATTTGAAAAATTGCCCATCAGTTTTTCTTCAGATAAACATCGAAAAAATATGAAGTGATTTCACTAAAATAAATTTTATGAAATTAGCATTTTATTACTTTAAATAAATAAAATTTTCTTTAGGATTTAATCTCACCTCAAACATTAATTCAATATGTTTGTCTATGCAGTTTAGCAACATTTGAATGATCAGAAATTCATCGTTTAATAATAATGTCAACAAATATGAAACAATATCTTGAATTAGAACCATTTATTTGTGATATTCTTTATAAATTTAATGAAACATCATATTCATCATGTCTTGCTTTAATGTCTCAATTTGAACCTATATTTGCATTAGATCAATATTTAGCATCTCATTTACGTAGATTATATTATGAAATACGTTATAGAATAATTGTTATATATTTTTTACCGTATAAAAATGGAAGTATGACAGTTATGGCACGTCAATTAAATAGAACAATTGATATATTTGAAGATGAATTTGTTCATTTAATTCGTTTAGGAAAAATAAAAGCACGTATTGATTCAAAAAATAAAATTTTATATGTTGCTGATACTGATCAACGTTAACATCCATATCAACATGCATTAACAACAAGAAAACAATCTGAAAAATTAACTCGAGCTCTTTTACTTCGTTCAGCTATAATTAAAGCAAATTTAAGTGTTAAAGATGATTCAATATCAACATCAATTCGTCTATCAAATAATAATAATGTTTCTCGTCGACAATTTGTATCGAATGTTCCTGGTAATATAATGAATGATGGATGAAGAAGATTTATTAGATGAAGGAACTATGTAAATTTTCAATATAATTTCCTGTTTTAATTTGATATGAAACAGGAAATAAAAATATTTATTTATCTTTTTGTTTTTTGTATTTTATCCTGTGCCCTGTATTTCGTAAAGAATGAAAACTATAAATATATCTTTAACTGACAGTTAAATGTAGTTTTTTTTTATAAATCTGTTTAAGGAAATTCTTTTTCTTTGTTATTGTGCTTATTATTGTTTTTGATGAAGAAGATGACGAGTTTTGGTAGGAAAGATATAAAGATATTCTATTTGTATTAATATAATAAAAAATACTTTTTCTTTCACATATAAATCTCTAACAAACAGAAACCCGATAGGAATAAGAAATAGTACCAACCGACTAACTTTGGCGTGTGTCGTTGATATTTCTAAGGAAATAATTAGCATTGAAGTGTTCTAGTTTCGTCGAATTGATGCTTCAAGCACTGTTTTATTCATTTCAAGTCTTTCTGGAAGATAAATCAATGATAAAATTTATTTTATATATACGGATCAGTATATGAGGTGTCTCTTTAGACGATGCTATGATTCTCTTTGCCTCGAAGTCGATTTAAGACGTTGATTGCGTAAGCAAAGTGTTTCAATATTTTAAATTGACGAAAACAATTGAACCATAGTTTCAATCAATACACAACTATCAGCGATCTTGATTATTTCGAAATTTAGTATCAGATTATAAAATATATTTAAAATGTATAAAAATTGTACATGTGAGGTGTCTATATTTAATGAGATTCAAGATGATTAACTAAACCTGACATAAATGAATATAATTTTTTTTAATTCAAAGAATATCTTAACTATTTCATAAAAGATAATTTGTTCGATTTTGTGGTTGACATGTTTCAGAATCATAAGGAATATAATGACGATTAAGAAAAAATTCTAGAATTAAATTAGCTCTATATTTTATTGTTTTAATATTAGCCCATTCCATCATAATAAATGGAATATTTATTTGTTTAAACATCAATTCACCTGTTTGAAATAAAAAAATGTTCAGATGTTTCAATAT